ATTGCTATTTGTACATTGTTTCTTATGATTGCTCTGTAATTCAAAAGTTTCATTAATATCAGCATCTTCTTCTTTTTTAGCAATTTCAATTACATATTCAACCCTTATTTTTTGATCATCAAATCTCCCATCCTTTAATTCTTTATTTTTAGATAATAATTCTTTATTTTTGAATAATCATGCTTTATTTTCAGATAATAATTCTTTATTTTCAGATAATAATGCTTTATTTTTGAATAATAATGCTTTATTTTTAGATAATAATGCTTTATTTTTGGATAATAATGCTTTATTTTCAGATAATAATTCTTTATTTTCAGATAATAATTCTTTATTTTGAGATTCAAGTTCATTGATTTTTTTCTTATATTCATTTATGTTGTTAATATATTCTACTTGTTGGAACTCAGAATCAATTAATTTTTTTATTTTTTCTGATTCTAATAAAATATTAGTGTTATCCTGATCTTGTTTCTCCAAGATTTCTTGTTGAATTGGATTATTATTAGTCATCTTAAATTTTTTTTGTTGACCTTCTTCAAAAAAACTAGAGTTATCTTCAGCTTTTAATTTCTCAAGTAATGAATCATTATTAACAATTTGATTGTAATGTCTTTCACAGATTGAATAATCATTTAAAGAATCAATCAATGAAAATAATTCAGCAAATAATTTTACACAACCCTTTACTTTATCTCCTGATGCTTGTCTAAAATGTTGTTCACTTTTAATATCACATTGTTTTAACTTTTTTTCAGAGTATTTGTCAGAGAGTGTAGAAAATAAGCAAGGTAAAGTGCCAGCAAATGGTCTTGATGTTCTATTCACTGAAGTTCAAAAGAAAAAACGGAAAAATTATTTTAAAAAACAATAAACAAACTTTTATTACATAAATTTAGGCAATAGCATACTTTCTACAAATTAACAGATTGTTGTGGATTTGGAATGGATTATGAGAAAACAAGTTTGGTAGTATTTATTTCAATTATTATAATTAGAATGTTTTTAAAAAAAAAATTTTTTTAACATACACACCCTGGACAAAAGTATCCGGACACCTGTTTTTACTAATTACACAAAAACGCGCATAATAACTACACATAA